AGAAGGAGCATGTTCTACAATTATCTTGGCAAACGCTGCTTCCTCATACCCCCAAGGATATAAATTATTTGGAGAATTTGAGCACATCTTTCAGTACATATCACTGCCACACTCAGTCACAGAAAAGCTTCCCTGGCTCATGACAAGAGGGCACAGACTGGATTTGAGCCACGCTAAAATTAGAGCACAGCTTCAGCGGTCATGTATTTCTTTTACAAAAACATGAAACATCCTGTTCTATGGAGAATAATCCAAGTGCCAAATTGTTGGTGAGAAAGATGATGGTCTCAAGGTAACGTTGAGTTAACAACAGCCAATTTTAAAATTTAATCTGTGGTGCAAGACCCACCCTAGAAGGCTTTATCCTGAACAGTGAAGGATCCATGAGTTGTAAGAGCCAGAGGTATGTGCTGAAACTCCAAGCGTTATGTCACTTGCACCAGACTCCTTGTTGATACCTCTACAAAATTGACACAGCTCTCCACAGAGAGTCAGAAAACCTAGTATCTTTACACAGAAGACAAACATACAAATCTACCCTGAATGTGAACGTGTAAGGATGAAGTCTTTCACTTCATACAGCTTGCAAGAAACAGGCTTGGGTTCCCTCCCCAGCTCAAAGCGCTGCCAGCATGGAAGCAATGAAGATGGTCTCATCAACAATCCTGCTTCCCTCTTAGCGCACTGTCTGCCACCTGCGAGAGCGTTGGCTTAAAGAGTTGCTATCTGCATTAGCCTGCCCAGAGCACAGCCATCCTCTGTGCTGGCACAACTATCCGCGTGGCTGAATGCTGAATCAGAGCAGGAAAGCAGATCTACCTGCAAAATAACTTGGCAAAAACTCTGGTTACTTTTCAGCCAGAAGCGTGTTCCTCAAACCAAACTGCCATGCAGCTAAGTAAACAGTTGCACCAGCAGAGCAGACAGCAACCTGCAGAAATAAGTGGCTGTCTTAAACACTGCTGCAGCTGGACACCCAAATGCAGCAGAACTCATGATACGGCTGAAAATAAAAAATACTCATCCTTAAATGAGAGTGCCCTTTACCCCCAAAACAGCACAGCACGCCCCTGCTGATTACCTGGCTTCAGGTGCTTGTTCAAACACATGATAAATTGATTGAGCTCACCTGAAAAGTGTGATTTTACATTGCTGCCAGAGACCAAAAGAAGAGAGTGGCCCTCAAAAGTATTTTACAACTACTTGACTCTCTCACATGCCTGAGAGTCCTAAAATCTTGCAAGGGAAGTAAAAGAAGTCAGAAATTAGTTTCATTAAGCTGTAACTGTTATAATTAATGCTTGAATTCTTCTGCTGAAAGATTCTTTAAAGTTCACCTTCTTCTACAGCCCCTTGCTTTGTACTCTACTTGGACAAGTTTTCAAAAAGGAGGGGAAATAATTTTGAAAAACATAACAGAAGAATTTCATTTTAAAGTGTTAAAACAGGTACTCAGAAGTACTAGAAAGTAGCTTTAACTTATTTAAAAAAACAAACAAAAAAACCCCAACAAAACCCCAAACCAGACTCAGTTTTATACTGGCAAGCTCTCTTTGAAAGTAAATTCTGACACTCCTCCAAAGACATTAACGTTTGCTTTTGGTGTCCCTGTGCCTTCTTCACACTGCTTTAAACTGCATACCTGCTTGCTGCCTGCCAAGGCCAACAGAGACGGAAGGCTTCCACCTACTCTTCCAGTTCAGAGTTAATGTCATTGTTTATGAGCTTGCAACAGGTCAGATGTCACAGTTTTGGGTTTTGTAAGAAAAACATTCTGACAAAACGATGACTTGCTTCCAGATGCTCCACTTGACCAGACCACTCATATCAGCTGTTACCAAGTATTTGAGAACAATATATTTAAAAATATGAGAGAGATGGAGATAACGAATACCTATCACCCAGCAAGCCAAACAGATCATTCTGCCTCGGATGGCGTTTTTTAAACTAGGAAATTTTCTGGTAGGAAGGGTGTATTCAAGATATAGTAGCTACAGATAAAAGCTGGAAGACAATATGATGCTTGGTGCTGTTAGTAACAGCTGAAGAATTACTGCATATCACTGTGTTTAGGTATCACATCTAAATAGTAAATGTCTTCTTCCGTAAAACACCAGAAACAGATCAAACCAATTCATGGTCAGAGACACTTGCAACACCTTGTTTTTCCAAAATCATTGAAATGACAGAGTATTGGGGATTTTGTTCAAAATACTTGGATTTCTATTAACATAGACCTACACGAGAAACAACAGCCTTGGGCTAAGGTCACAAATTAGACCTAACTAAGGTTTTGAAAATGATTCACGCTCACTAGCACACTTGCAGTGCTACCACTGCTAAAAACACCAGCATCTGCTCGGCAACACCTTCAAAGACTCACAAATTTTGTGGAGGCAGTTTTCAGTAGCAAGTTTGCTCTGAACAGCCAGGATAAAATCTGAGTGAGAAAATGACCATCTGCCCTTAACGTATTTCCCCCGAGGCTGCTCTACTTTTGTACAGCCTCAACGGTCTTCTCAGCAGGCAAAGTAACAAGCGTATCATGAAGTCACAGAAGTGAAGCTTCTCTCACTCAAGTTGAGCATCCAAAACACTCAAAACCAAACCAGAAATCTCAGTCTGGCAGCGGAGCAAGGGTCATTCTGTTTAATCAGGCATGTTTACTTTTAGAAATTTTATTTTATCTGTTCATAAGATACTATGAGACAGAGCTAGTTCCAGTTGTCATAAGGTCTTGCTCCTTTTTTAATTTAAAATAAAGAAGTAAATGTAAAAAATAAAGAAAAAGACATCAGCTATTCGTTTGCACAAACTTCCAAAAGAAGACCTAAGACTAAAAGGAAGAAGGTAACTCGCAGAACCACATTAGTTCTGCTTTAAAATCCTCCCACTATCCCTGGCATTTCAGAGGCCAGGAACAATTAGTGCTAACAGAAGACAGCAAATGTGTTTTGGGGAAGCTGTCAGGGTTTGAGAAGCTACAAGTTCAAGATGGAAGTTTTCTACACGTTGATAGTGTGTGTATATATAAATATATGTAAAAAAAAGACGTTTTCTCTCCTCACTAGAGAGGAGTACTCAGTAGAGTACTAGATACACCGAGGAAACCAGAGCACAGGGGCATACAAGTCCATTCCTCAGGTAGATATGTCAGACTCTAACCAGTCACCTCAGGGCCTTGCAGCCTCCTGCAACCCCTCCCAACCTTCTCAGCCTAGCAATGGACCAGGCAGCCTATGTTGCCTAATTAGCACCGTGACATGCAGACCTGTATAAAATGGGAAACAAAAGTCAAAACAAAGCATGTACTCAAACTAGCCCAAGGCACTGAAAGTTATTGAACAGGCATTGCTGATCAGGTGATTGTACTTACATGGAACAGTTTCTCAGTCTTCGGAAATACTGCTATGATGTCATATAACCTTATATTTGCAGATGTTGATCTCTACAAAAGGAGGAAACAATTACCATCTTGAATTCTGGCAGGCACCAAAGCTATGCACAATGATTATTACCAAAATAATGAGAAGAAAATCCCTTTTTCACTTTCAAGTACTAAAACAAAGCCAATAATCACCCAGTTACATAGTAGGTCTCTGCTGAGCCATACTGTGAAGTCATTCATTCTCATACTGAGGCTTGTCCCACCCACCTAGTAAGGCACTTACGCTTTTTGCTTTGATCATGTAGCACTAAAACATAAACAGACACAGGGCTTGCTCATGGTCTTCTAGTTTACGCACAGAAGTCCCGAAATCAAAGAAAAGAACCAAGGAACAGAACTGTTGTCCCATATTCACAAATGATCAACACAAGCCATATCCAGTCTTGTAAGTCTACGTCTCTTCATGATTACATTTGCTAAAGATGTGATCAGAAAAATTGTTGCCGAGCATTCTATAAAATAGAATATCCATGAAGTTCCCTCCGCGCTATCTCCAAAGTTTCATTCATTCATTGAGAAAAGGAAATAAAAATTGGAAAATTAATATACCAAATATACTTACCAAGAGATTACAGTGGGAAGGATCAGAAACAACAAGTGTTAGCCGGGTTAAGACTTTAATTCTTTTAGATGTTCCCTACAAAAAAGAAATAATACAAAAGACTTAAAAAGCTTCAAAGCAAAAATTTGTGGTGACTTTCACCCTGGCCACTACAAAAAGAAAATGGTGGTTTGTTCATATTCTTGCCTACACTAATTTTCTAAAGTCTGCAGTTACGCCTCCCCATTTTATGTTGATCTGTTATACTTGCCCTTTACAAATAATGACTTCCTGTGTTTCTCTGAGGAAGGCTCAATAGAAAGGAGAAAGAAATAAAGAAAAAAAAGTAAAATCATGCAGAAAACCTGAGTTTGTTTTAATACTGCTATGATTCCCCAGGCAGGCCACAACTGCAAGCAAAAGCAGTTCCTGAATTAACATATGTCAGTGATCTGAAACAGACTTGGTTCATTATATTCCAATCTTACTCCATCAAAACCAGGAAGTTATTTCCAAAACGCAAATTTCAAAAATTATACCATAATTATTCAACTACAAGAAGACTCAAAATTCACACAAAGCAATTTCTTTAATAATTTCTAAAATAATGAATAGAGCCTACTCTAACGCAAGTGTATTGTTCTTCCAACGCTGGGAATTTTAACAATCAAGCAATGGACAGACTTCTCGTTTGTCGTTAACATGTAACAAACAAAATCACATATACAAACACACCAAGGTAAAAAACATAACTCAGAATAATAATACATAGATGGAATGTAATTAGACATACTTGTACAATAGGCAAAGATGGAAACAGCTCTGAAGGAGATACTGGCTTGACAATTTCCTTAAAAGAGAACAAAACAAAGTTATTCGAAATGACATAGGTTAAGTTCACAATGTAAACAAAAGCTGTGTTCCAATCCTAAAAGGAAACTTGCTGTGCTAACAAAACTGGTTCCCAGGGACAACGCACGGACCATATTAAAAGTTAACTCTAGGGCAATTATACTGAATTATAAAATGGGAGTTCTGTCACAAATGCAGACACTTGTACTTGCATCTAGATGTGCATTCTGCAGATAAAGCTATTTGGGAACATGTAATAAGGCATGAGGTTTTACAAGAGAAAACACACTAAGAACAAATAACCCCAACCAAAAATTACCTGTTTCTTTTCTTTAAAATCGATGACATGATTAAGAGCAACTGCAGAATATCCCACTGAAAAAGTAAACATTTAGTAAGAATATTTTGTCCAGTAAACTAATGGAAACAAATCCAAACATAAGCCTGTTAAACCCTCATCATGTAAGTGCCTCAAAATTAATAAACACATGCACATTTACCTTTCATATTATTTTTTTCCCTTAAGATTAATTCACCCAGAAAGTGCCTTAAAACAAACAAACAAAAAATCTGGTTGCCTTTCAATACACCCCAGCCTTGACAACAGCAGAGCTTTACACACTTGAATACTTGGGGTCAGAGTCCCCGAAGATTTTGCCCTAGTTTGGTCCTGTTGATGGGTTTCTTTAGGGAAAATGGTTAAGGACATTCAGGACAGCTGTTAAAAGTGCAGTCACCGCAGGGCTGGGAGAGACACAGGCATAGGAGAAGGCAAGGTGAGCATTCGAAACTGACCAACAGGTCTCTTTCAGCAGGCACCAGGGGACGATGGCAGGCTGGCCAAAGGCAAATCACCCCCCAAAACAGCGGACAGGCAGCGCCTGGCTGTACAACAGCTCTGCAGAAATAAAGACTGAGACCACAAGAAATTGCGGGGGGGAGGGAAGTGTCCACGTTGGGGGAAAACCCCAACGGTGAGGCTGGGATGAAGAGGCAGGGACAGAGCCTGCCAAGGCCCGCGGGAGCTCCCCGTGCGGGGACCCCGGTACCGGCCCCTCCGCTTGCAGGAACCCCCCTGAAGGGGAAGCGCAGAGGGGAGCGGAGCGAGCGGGAGGGCGACCCTCCAGGGACGCAGATGGCGAGGCTGAGCCTACAGGGAGGGAAAACTGAGCCCAGAGACTCACGCCGTGCTCACCCCAGCCCAGCCCAGCCCAGCCCAGCCCAGCCCGGCCCGGCC